ACTATGTTTGTGTAAACTCGAAGTGCTCAAAGGGTGTACAGAAATGTGATTTTTTTGTTTCAAAATAAAACCATCGTAATTTCTGTTTCACTGTCATATACAGCGCTTCATCATTATATTATCTTTACCTCCTCTGCCTATACTTTTTCTGCTTTCTTCATGTCCATCACTAACTATTTTTTCTTCTCCCTTGAGTTCATAGGAAGGTGATTTTATCAGGGACTTTAAATGCAAGTCCCACCTAGCTTTCTTTTTTAAACAGAGAAATCAAGCTCGCCTCCGACACGAAAGTCAAGTTCTAAAACTAAAATATCAATTTTCTACGTATATGTGACACACAAGTCAGTTTTTAGTAAAACTTAACCCCCTTCGATTCTGGCACGGAAGCTGCTCTCCACGATGTCTCTGGCACAGAAGTTGATCCCAAACTTCAACTGACTCCGAGTAAAATGACACACAAGTCGTTTCTAAAACTTAACTGTCATCGTATTTGACTAAAAGTCTTCTCTAAAACTTAACTCTCTTCCTATGTGACACACACATCGATTCTAAAACTTAACTCTAGTCGTATTTGACAACATTTAACTCTCGTCAATTTGGACAAAAAGTCTTATCTAAAACTTAACTCTCTTCCTATTTGACACACACATCGATTCTAAAACTTAACTCTCGTCTTATTTGCCCCCCCAAAAATCTTCTCTAAAACTTAACTCTCGTCGTATTTTACAAAAAGTTATCTCCAAGACTTAACTCTCTTCGATCTGGACAGAGATCTGGGACTGAAGGACGACCAAGATACCAACGGCATGATCTCCGGCATCATTAACGGAGCATGCGCACTAGGGTAAGTCACGATGAGACATGCCTGTCTGTCCGTCTATTTACGAGTATAAGCAGAAGTATATATTCTTTAGAAATAGAATGTAAAAAATATTTTACTGGCCGTCTCTACCTTCAGGATTCTGAAAAATAAAATATGTTGCGAATATTTTTCACACATAGACCTGAAAATACAAGGAAAATGACCTGCTTTTCTTCTGGAGAAATTAGAATTATAATCAAAATCTAGATTGAGAAAAATACACCAGCAACCCAAACTACATACTTTAAAATTGCTGTTCTTAAATCAATTTATTCTTAAAACCATTCGTATTACTTTCATTGGCATAATACTTTCCAAAATGGTTCCGACTACAACCAAGCTCAGAAAACAAATCATGTCATGGTGCTTATGACCAAAATTATGTTAATCAACATGCATTACTTGTCTATTCACCAATACCCCCCC